TTTCTACTTTATCTCCTCCTTCCCTCCCAATTCCCGAATTCCCCAATTCCCCAATTCCCGGCTCCTCCTGCGCTGCCGGCCCGGGAAGGACCAGAGGAGGAGGAGGAGGAGGAGGAGGAGGAGGAAGGCGGCCGTGCCCGGCCCGAGGCGCCGCCGCAATTCCCGAATTTCCAGCGTTTCCCATGGAAAAGGCCCCGGAGGGGGGGAGGGGGGCGGCTCCGCGGAGGAGCCCAGGGAGGGGGAGGGGCAGGGCTGGAAAAATCCCCAATTTCAACAAAAATAAAAAATTTCCTCCTTTTTGAGCGCCTTTCCCTCCCTTTTATCTCTTTTCCCTCCTTTTATCTCTTTTTCCTCCCTTTTTTACCTTTTTCCTCCCTTTTTTATCCCTTTTTTCTCTTTTATCCAAGTTTTTCCTCCTTTTCATCTCCATTTTTTTATCTTTTTATCTCTTTTTCCTCCCTTTACCTCCGTTTTTCCTTCCTTTTTTATCCCTTTTTTCTCTTTTATCCAAGTTTTTCCTCCTTTTCATCTCCATTTTTTTATCTTTTTATCTCTTTTTCCTCCCTTTACCTCCGTTTTTCCTTCCTTTTTTATCCCTTTTTTCTCTTTTATCCAAGTTTTTCCTCCTTTTCATCTCCATTTTTTAATCTTTTTATCTCTTTTCCCTTCTTTTATCTCCGTTTTCCCTCTCTTTTATCTCACTTTTCTTTCGATTTTATCTCATTTTCTTTCTACTTTATCTCCTCCTTCCCTCTTTTTCCTCCCTTTTTCCTCTCTTTTTAATCTCCATTTTCCTTCTTTTTCATCACTTTTCCCCCATTTTTATCCTCTTTTCCCGCCTATTTTAATCTCCTTTTTTCCTCTCTTTTTACCTCCTTTTCCCTTCTTTCCAATCCTCTTTTCCCTCTCTTTTTTCTCTCCTTTCCCGCTCTTTCCTCTCCCTTTTTTCCTCCCATTTTCCCTTTTTTCTCCCTTTTCCCCCTTTTTTTACCCAATTTCCCCCCTCTTTCATCTCCTTTTCCTCCCTTTTCTTTCCCCTCTCATTTTTCCCCAAAACCTCTCGAATTCCGGGCCGATTCTTGACTCTTTAAATTTCCGCCTTCACCCGGAGGAGGAGGGGGGGATTAAAAATCTTTAAAATACCTTTTAATAAATCCAAAACAAATTATTAAAAAAATTAAAATAGCAAAAACGTACAATAAATTATCCAAAAACTCAAAAAAAAATATATAAAAATATTTGTTAAAAATAGAAAAAAAAAATTCAAATAAAAGATAAAAAATCGAAATAAAAACGCGGAGAAGCGGCCGGGGGTCGCTCCCGAGCCGCGGAAATTCCCGGCGCAGATTCCCGCGATTTTCCGCCCCCCTCCCGTCCCAAATCTGGGATTTTTATTTTTTCTGGGGGCGTCACGTGCAGGGGGCGGCGGCCGCTCCTCAAATCCGTGACCCCAGGCTGGGGGTTTGATGTTTTTTTTATTTTTTTGGGGTTTTTCCTGCGGGGCGGGGCGGCAGCGGCACCTAGCGCTGCTCGGCGGCACCGCGCGCTTCTGCTTTTGCGCTGATTTCTCCCTTTTTCTCCTTTTTTTCTCCCCTTTTCCCAGTTATTTCTTAATTTTTAAATGATTTTTGATTTTTGCCCTTCATTTCAGGGCGCGTTCCTTGCGCGCCTCTGCGCGGGGTTGCTTTAAATAGCGAAATAATTTAAATTAAAATCGTGTATTTTCATCCTTTTCCTTTATTTTTTCTTTTATTTTCAAAGGTTTTTCTTTTTTCCCATTTATTTCCTTTTTCTTCCCTTTCCCCCTTTTCTTCCCATTTTTAAAAACTTTCCTTTTTCTTCTTTCTTTTCCTTTATTTTAATTTCTTTCCCTTTTTCCCTCTCCTCCCTTTTCCTCCTGTTTAATCCCTTCCCCCCATTATATTTCTCTTTTTCTCCCCCTTTTCCTCCTTTTTTCCCCATTTTTCTTCCTTTTTTCCCCATTTTTCTTCCTTTTTTTCCCCATTTTTCCTCCTTTTTTCCCCCATTTTTCCTCTTTCCTGCCACCCCCTCTTCCCAACCTTTTCCTCCCTAAAAGAAAAACCACCCAAAAATTAAAATAAATTAAATAAAACCTCTTTTTTTTCCCCCTGGCCATTCCGGGATATTTTTGGGCCGCTCCTCCTCCAGCGCTCCAAAGTTTACATTCCTCGGATTTTTTTTTTTTTTTTAATTTTAATTTATTTATTTATTCTCGCCTTTCCTCTGGTTTTTTATCCTTTTTTTTTTTCTTTTTTTCCTCTCTTTTTCCATAATTTATTGCAGCCGGATCTTCCTCAAAGGAGGGGGGGGGGGGGGAAAAACCCTGGAAAAATGGGATTTTCCCCCCCCCCCCCCCCGCCGGCCGCTTTTTTGGCTTTTTCCTCATTTTTGGGGTTTTTTTGGTATTTTTTGTCAGTTTATTTTGCATAAATTCCATCCTGGAGAGAAGCAAAGGATGGGAGGGGAAAAAAAAAAAAACCTCCTCGGGCTCCTTTTTATTAGGATTATTCCCCTTTTTTACGATTATTTTCCTTTGTTTTACGATTATTTCCCCTTTTTTAACGATCATTTCCCCTTCTTTTACGATTATTTCCCTTTTTAAACCATTATTCCCACTTTTTACGATTATTTCCCTTTAAAAACCAACAATTTCCTCTTTTTTATGATTATTTCCTCTTTTCGTGCTTTTTTCCCCTCGCTGTTTCCTTTAAGAGATAAATCTTATTTATTTCTTTCTATTTTTTTTCCCAGGGATTTCTCACTCCGTGACCCCCGGAATTCCCAGAAAATCTCCCAAATTCGATGAAAAAAGGAGGAAAAATCCGATTTTTGTCCGTTCTTTCTCTCCGCGTTTCATTTCCCGCTGTTAAATCCACAATTTCCGATCTCCTCTGGATAAAAAACGCTAAAAAATGCTAAAAAAAGGTAAAAAAGCCTTTTTACCCCTCCCCCGTTCCCTGGAGAGGTTTTTTTTTGGGATGAAATCGAGGGAAAACGGGTGGGGGAAAGCTCCGGGCGCAAAATAAACCTAAAAAAAAATTCATTAATTAATTAATAAACCCCACATCCATCACCAATAAATCACCAATAAATCACCAATAAATCATAAATAATAAAAGAGAAGCCGAACTTTTCACCCCCGGGGGAGGAAAAAAACCCAAAAAAATTTAAAAGGAGGGGAAAAAAGGAATCTGGGAACTTTGGAAATCCACATTTCTATTTTTAATCACGGAAATTCCCGCGGCCCCGAACAATTACACGAGACTCAGCCAAGGAGACAAAGCCAAACATTTCCTTTTTTCTCCTTATTTCCCCCCTCCTCTTTATTTTTTCCCCTTTTTTTTTTGGAAAAGACGAGACCGGGGAGGGGAGGGAGGAGATTTTTGGGGAGGAAACGCGAAATAAAAAACGAATTTTCCAGCACGAGGTTCCCACTGAAGCTCAGGGCAACTTTCAAAAATAATATTCCGATTTTATTTCATTAAATACTCGACAGAAAGTCCGGTCCGGACCCGGGGATTTTATACATGAGAGGGTGTAACACAAGATTTGTCAATTTTATTTATGTTTTAAACATTTTTCACCTTTTTTTTTGTTATTTTTAATTTTTATTATTCATTTTTCTTTTCTCTCTCTACCTCTATGAACTCCATTCACTTTTTTTTTTTTTTAGTTTTTTAATCATTTTTTTTCCCTTTTTTTTTCTCGAACATTACAGCGCTAAACATAAATATAAATACAGGTACCACGAACACAGAGAAAAATATTCACACAGAAACCGTCACAGTTTGTGGATGCGGTGATGAGCTGCTGAAATACCGGGAGGAAAAAAGGCGATTTTGGGCCAAAAAAGCGCTTTTTTATGGCATTTCCGCCAGGAAAATCTGATTTTTTCCGCTGAGGTTTGGGGGGGGCACAAGCGGGGGGCGGGGTCGCCCCCGATTCCGCCCGGTTTTGCCCCAATTTTTGCCCGATTTTCCCGGTTTTTGGGGTGGGGGTGAGGCCGGGATGAGGGGGCGAGGGGGGAGATTTTGGGGGGCATTCGTGGAGCTCTCTCATTAATTAATTAATTAATTAATTAATTAATTAATTCCTCCTCATTCATTCACTCATTCATTCCCCCGCATTAATTAATTAAATTCTTCGCATTCATTCCTCCGCATTCACTCCTCCACTTTTTAATTTTTTTTTTTCATTTTTCCGCTTTTTCGTTTTTTCCGCTTTTTCGTTCCCCCGCTTTTTAATTCCCGAACTTTTCCGCCCCCTCACTTTTTTTCCCCAATTTTAATTCCCCTTTTTCGCTTCTCCACCTTCACTCCTCCGCTTCAATTTCACTTTTTCGCTCCGCCGCTTTTCCCTCCCTCTTTTTCATTTTTCACCCCGCCTCGCCCTTTTATTTATTTATTTTGAATTTTCCCCATTTTCCCCTCTTTTTCGCTTCTCTCCCTCACTCCACTCTCACCCTTTTATTCCATTTATTTTTTAATTTTTTCCCTCTTTTTCATTTCTCTCCCTCACTCCACTCTCACCCTTTTATTCCATTTATTTTTTAATTTTTTCCCTCTTTTTCATTTCTCTCCCTCACTCCACTCTCACCCTTTTATTTGATTTCTTTTTAATTTTTCCCCTCTTTTTCGTTTCTCTCCCTCACTCCACTCTCACCCCGCCTCGCCCTTTTATTCCATTCATTTTTAATTTTCCCCTCCCCGCCAACACTTTTTAAACATAACTTTTAATTTTTTTTTTTTTTTTCTCCAGCGATAAATACCAGGAAGGACAAAAAGGGGAAGAAAAGGGATGAGAGGGGAGGGAAAAGGGGGGGGGGGATTGGCGACAAAAAAAAAAAAAAAAAAAAAAAAAACACCCCCCCTTTTTTTCC